TCGCAAGCTTGTTACGACAGCCAATCCGAAACATTGATTTCAAAATGCAAGCTTCAGATTGGCTGTCGCAACAAGCTTGCGATCGACTTGCAACTAATGTAGAACCGGCTTAAGGCGGGGTTTACATAAAGACGTAGACGTAGACACAAGAAATTGGGAAGATATGATTGGATATGGAAAAATAGGAACGGCGAGTAACCTCTCTCATGATTGGCTGGACGTAGAAAAATATTAAAATTTTCATATTCTACATCCTACGTCTATACGTCTACGTCTCTATGTAAATTGCGCTTTCTACGTCCTACGTCAATACGTCTACGTCTCTATGTAAATCGCGCTTAAGACTGAAGTTCCATGAGGCATATTTGCTGCGTACGCGTAATCGCGTAACCAATCAGAAGCTTGGCGAGATACGCGAAACAAAAACTGCAGGTTGTTTCTGATTGACTACACGGTTACGTTATACGCGGCAAATATGCCTCAGGGCAAATTCACACCTTGACAGAAAAGCGGAAAAGAGAAAAGCAGAAGCCAATCAGAACTCGCGTTGGTAGCAAGAAAAGCAGAAAGCAAAAACTATTAACTACCAATCGTAATTGGTTAACGACCAATCGCGAGTTCTGATTGGCTTCTGCTTTTTTGTCAAGGTGTGAATTCGCCCTTAAGTGCCAAAGCGCCGGTGTCTGCATGAGAATCCAGCTTTAAAGAGTCGCGAAATAACGCAAGAAAAACTTTTTTCCCTCTAGCCTATCTATAATTACGTCTCCTTATTCTTACTTCATGCATGATACATTATGAGCATGATGCGCTTTGGGGAACGCAGCTAAAGTTAGGTCGGGCAACGCCATTTTTCAGCAAAAATCGGAAATAGCGAACATTATCACATTATTATATTAGCCATGTTGGCTGTGTTGTAAAATAACATATGTGTTACAAAATAACGTATATTCACTTATAGACACATGGGCAGCTAAATACAAATGTCAAAATTGATTATTAAAGTGTTTTTTTTTTGTGAAATTTGGTATTAGATAAAAAAATTAATAATAACATATTAATTGATAATGGCATTTGACCATGGCTATTTTCGGGCTTTATTGAAAAATGCCGGCACCACCAATCAAAATTGGATTCGTTATTTCGCATTCTTAACTAGCTCTTTTACATTTTGATTTGGTAATCGAAAACGCTATTAATCGCGGGCATGACTTCTCTTGGCAAGCCAATCAGAAGTTGCCCTTAGTTACCAAGTGCTACACTTACTAGCACTTGGTAACTAAGTGCAACTTCTGATTGGTTTTCTATCTTTCCGCATTCCACTGTTCCGCTCCAATGTGAATCCTCCTTTAATGACATCGCTTATACTTTATAGAAGTACATAAGATATTAGATAGGTTATTAAGGTTATGGAATTTCTTGGAGTCTTACGAAAATGTAACCTTTCGTATAATTGTATATTATTATTTATATACAAATTTGTTGAGTGTGTCGCTCGCGCGTACATGCTCATGATATTTTGTATATATATATATCTTCGTAATATATTGAATAATAATATACTTTATAATGTTTACGTTAACGGGAGAAATAAACTTTTGGACTTTTGACGACAATGTAAACATAGAAGTCACGGATTTCGGTGCATTTAAGTAAAAAATCATTTTATTAATTTTGAGATTCCACTATTACTATTGCAACAATTTAATTGCCCCTGATTTTTTAGATATCACGATAAACGTATCGATGGCGTGTATGAAGAAGGTAAAAGATCATATTGTCAAGAGCGTGGTATGACTTACGTGCCAGAAAATAAAAAGGGAAACAAATTGAAACACTCTGTAAAATATTTAGAGGTATGAAAAATCATTACACTGTTCCTTATTCCGATTGAATTTCGTAAAGAATATATTTTAAAATTTTTATTATTGTTATTATTATGTTTAGGATCAGATCAGAGATAATTCTGTAATTTATTGTCAATGGCACGATGATTCTGTTGCACAATTAATGCTTAGCAATGGCTTACTGGTGCAAATACAAGTTTGCCTCTTTAGCGGTGACGTTCAAGAAATTAATTTCGACAAATATCTCGTAGGAAAACTATCCGAACATATATCTGATGGTAATGCTATTATTTTTTGCCAGAAATTACTTAATGTACACGAAAAATAATATTTTACCTTATTGCAGTAATTATTACAAAAAGTCATTTGGTTTGTACGTACAATGATAATCTAGTGACACTGGTACATTTTACAAAATCTAAAACACACATCTTTGATAAGATCAACAAGTTGGAACCCAAATTAATTACAACAGACTTATTTATACCTAATGGACGTAGATTAGATAAGAAGATTCAAGTAAATAAGTCTGCTAATTTGGTAAATTGCTTCTATAAATAATTTTTTTTTAATTGCAAGTAGAAAATGTTATAGACAATCTGTAAGAAATGACGCGTTTTTACAGATATTAATTTGGCGAAAGTCTACAATGAACGAAGTTTATCCTTGGAGTCCTGCTGTAAAGCAATATCATCGAGCGAACATGCATCTCTTTCGACTTACAGGGTATGAGATTAACATAGCTAAATTCAAGAGCAAATTCCTTTTATCGTTCTCCTTTTTAGCACTTACAATTTTTTGCGCGTGTATATGTATTTTTATTTGTTTGATCATCCTGACTGTTATCTTCTTCTCTTTATTGATTTCCTTGTTCCCATCCTTGTCTGTATGTTTTATCTTTTTACATAAATTCCGATGTTTCTTCTTGTGCAGTTCCCACGAATCTCTTTTATATCGAGACTGATAATTCTTTGGCATTGCTTCCAGTAATTTTATTTGGCAAATCTAAAGTGCCCTTTTTTGTATAGTATATTTTTTTTATTTAAATTATATATTGTATATATCAAAAATTTTAAAGAATTTTATGATATTTTTGGGGGAGTTTTAAATAATTTAGATTTTTTTTTAATTTTACTACATATGCAATATTAATTTTGTACAAACTCTCATGGCAAGCATTCAACTTTTTCGACGTTATCTAGTATATGTCCATCTAGTATATCATCCGCAATAAATTTTGCAGTGACACAATGTCTGGCCAATTGGGATGCCATTTATAAACGTCCCAATTTCCCAACCTTTTTGGAGCAAATGCATCTGTCCATTCAATGGCCATGCCATTACTGACAATACATTTTTGTATAATTTTTTTTTCTAAATCAATTATAAATCCTGTATGCACAAACACTGTTGTGATACGTAAAAATGAATGGATTTAATAATTGAATATTTTCAGAACAAAGTTAGAATTGTTATGTTACATACGCACTGAATTTGATCCTTTGTGTATTACGTTTGATGCATGCGATGATAATATTATTCATTCTGTAGAACAAAAAGTCTCAAGGAAGGTAATTATAGCTTATAATTCCATGTTTCAACAAATTTACTATATTGAATATGCTATATTAAAAGAGAAAATATATGTATATTAATAAATTTGAATATTATAATGTAACACGTAGGGAGAAGTTACCGTAGAATGGCGTACGTATGAAGTCTCTCGGCAGAATAAATTAAAAAGGATTGCTGTGATTTCGGTGCCATTACCAACGCATACCAGTTGCGTGAGATTTTCACCTAATCAGGAATTATTACTTCTATGTTGCATTGATGGTACTATTATGATGTACGATCAAATAAAATCGACAAGCACCAGTGTAAAAGCAGCTTTTGTAAGTTTTAGCTACGTGTGCGTGTGCACGCGTGCGTATGTGTGTGCTATGAGAAGATGCGTTGTGAAGAGATTGATAATTTTCTTTATTTTCTCTTTTCCTCTTCAAGATACCTACTTTAGTCGCTTGGCATAGCGACGGTATAATATTTGTGGTAGGCAATGACAGAGGTCAATTTCAACATTTTGACATCACTTTAATGTGTATCAAAAGCCAGACATTAAGCGATGAAGCAACGCCAGCGCATATTCTCGACTTGTCATCATATTTTAGGTAACAAATAATGAAATAATTAATCGGTAGAACATGACTATAAAACTTGATTAACACATAAAATATAATAATTATCCAACACACACAGGAATCAGCATGCCTTGCTACATATGGAATGGAACAAGAAAAGCGATCCAAAACAGATTCGTTACTACAATAATGGCAATTCTTTATTTTTGTTACTTTTTGAACGGTAAGGATCTATCTTATATGTGCAACATGACCGATAGAAATTTATATGACAATTTATTCTGCATTAACAGAGGACCGATTGGCGTTATTAAAATGATCGAAGGCGATACTCTCTCCGGGGACGAATTAGTCAGAAGGTATTTGTCAGAGTCTCGAGCGGAACAAGCGACTTCCTTGCTATTGTCGATGAACTGGGATACGCATCCACGTGTGTGCATGCATTCGCTCAATCAAATCTTAAATTATTTGTTCAAATTACCGTTAACAACGGAACGCGAAGGTAAAATAAAATTTCATTATTCTTACAATCTGACGGTTAATTGAGAAATTATTTACGAATGATTAAAAAACTTAATCTGATCTAATAGGTCTGATACAGAATGCACTGGGCAGTTTCCACGTACCTATTAAACCAATAAGCCAAGCTGTCGAAGAAGAGTATGGGGATGAAGTAAGAGATTTGACGAGGCGATTTTTCCATCATTTATTAAGGTAACACAATACGTGTTGATACGTGAATCTAAAATTTAATTAATCTAACGATTATGATTTTTGTAGATATAAGATGTTTGAGAAGGCTTTCCGGCTAGCTATTGATTTAAATGATCACGATCTCTTTATGGACATACATTTTTACGCTGTGGTTTTGAATGATATGGAATTGGCAACTGCAGCCAAGGAGAAAGCTGAAAGTATTCTAAGCAGATCGAACAGTTGCAGTGGCTCGCGTAAGAATTGACAAATCTTTGCCAAAAAATTTAGGAAGCTTTAAACACACCCTGTCTATCTAAAAATTTTTATAGATTCTACGTGTTCGAGAACATCATGCTCTATATGTTCCGATTCAAGCAATGAGAAGGGAGAAGAGGAGGAAGAAGAGACCGAAGAAGTGGAAGAAGAGGAGGAAGAGGAGGAAGAGGAGGAGCAGGAGGAAGAGGAGGAGGAGGAGGAGGAGGAGGAGGAAGAGGAGGAGATGGTGATAGTGGAGGAGCAAGAGGAAAAGGAAATAGAAACAACATATAGCGAAGAGAGCGAAGATTCTCAGAAAGAAAAACGACTCAATCTAAAACGGTCGAGAAAACGTCATTACAGAAAAACCTCCGGCTCAAGTCAAATCCCACCCTTACCAGTTGTTCATCCTCATCATACCGCGAAGAACACACTTTGTGCATACAATAATATTCCGTCCACTACTAAGACTGACTACATCTTAGTACCTTCGTCCTTTGACACTTCTGATAATATTTTAACAACTTCGTTTAATCACTCTTCGCACATTTCGAGCCCATTTCTAGCATCGACTTCTTTTAATAAAACATACAGTACACATTCAAATATTACACCGACTAGCACGGCAAATGTCATTAGTAGTTCTCAAGTGTTTAACAATGCGACGACAGATGACTTGATGACTACGTCATTCGGCAGTATTTCTCTTACTGAATCGGAGGTAATAGTGAACGATCAGTCTAGTAACGATTTTGACGAGAGATTATTACTTAATGAGATACCATATTCCTTCACTAGTTCCGCCACTAACAAAGTAACAACTTGCGCGCAAGACGACAGCTTCATTTCTACTCCTTTTAATAAGCCAATATATGAATCAGAAGACATTCACTCTGATTATTTGACAAGCTGTTTAAATGTCGTTGACAATAATGTTATGTCGACATCATTTAGTACTCGAATCGCTAGCATTCCTATCTCGCACAGTAACTCTCTCAATGCACTAACAGCGAACAATAACTCTGAGACTTGTATGTTACGAAGCATGAAATCTTCAAAGATATCTGATAAATCATCAGCTAAAACTCTCATTGATACTAATACCCATACAACGGACCAATTGTCTCTGCGGGATAGTATTTGTAACAATCTGGTGTCTACTTCGTTTAATTATTTTGAAGGATGCGTAACTCCTGAAAGTAGCGACAGTACATTTCCCAACACGTTTAACATTGTCAATGATCAAGCCGTTAAATTACAACATTCGATAACAGAAGAAAAGGATATCGCTATTCCACCACCACCACCACCACCTTCTCTAATAAGTTCGTTTACTAATTACCTTCATGGTTTACCTAGAAAAAATTATCTTTTATCTGGAAACACTCAAGGTTTGTCAAATGTTAAAGAATCAGAAAAATTTGCATCGAGTAAAACACATGTGCCTTTGCGCATTTTACAGAAACAGAATTCCACAACGTCTAACATGCCCGAAAATCAGAAAACCTCTCTAGCTTTCAAAACATATAGATACAATTACGATTTAGATTACATACCATTTCGCGATACTTGCGACGACACAGACTTGCAACGTTCACAAACAGTTAGCAGATTTCCTTCGCGAAACTTTCATCCTAGCTATAGTATGCAGCACGAATTATTCGAAAATAGACACTCGTCAAGATCTTCCCAAAACAATACAAACGTTAATGCGAATAGAGAAACTAAGATGTTTTCTAACGTACCACCTCTGCCTGTAATTAATACATCTATCGTTAATTCAAAGATATGTTCCGCGTGTCCGTCATTCGCCGATACATCAAGTTCTCTCTCTAACGAAAAGCCAAAGGTGAAGTTTTCAGATACGGTCACTCACATACTAGTACCTACTGGTACAGTAAGTAGTTTTACAAGATATACATATCTATTATATATGTATGTATGTATGTATGAATATATGTATTTATATATACACACACACTTTACAGACTCAAGTATATAGACCGAAACGATCTACTGCACAAACATACATAACGGATCCTAAACGTGAACTAGCTGAAAGCCTTCCGCTTTGTTTGGGTAATGAGGATTACCTTAAAGATTTTCAACCATTATGTAGTAAGCATTTTACATTAATACACATCCCTTTTGTTAAGAACTTGACAAATGTGAATAACATGACTTTGCCTAATATTAATTGCCTTTGATATTTTGCAGAAGACAACGCAGACGGGAAGGTGAAAGAATGTCCGAAGACTGATGATAGTACAAAGATTAAAGTCGTGCATTTTGGTTTATTGTAAACCAATATATTAAAAGAAATAACGTAAATTGTGTGTATCTTCGAGGGGCTAGAAGAATAATAAAACAAAAGCCCAACGTTATTTATAATAAGAATTAAGTTATAATTTACTTATTAAAATGATTTTGCTTACTTTTAATTTAGTTATGATTAAGACATAATAAGAATAATGTACTAAAATAGTTTATTGAAATATTTTTATAAAATTTTTGTATACATTGTGTATAATTATCTTGGAAAAGTTAAAAGACACTTATTCACCAATTAATTTGATATATAACAATGGGTATAATTTTTTGAAGCTTTTATACTGTTTTATAAATTTACATGCTTGGCAAAAAAAAATACTTTTATATCAGTATACATATGTACAATGTTATTTGCACTTAAATCCTACATTAATTGCGACACAATGTATATTCAAGTTTTATTCTTTAATGTCTCTAACGTAGATTTCAAGTCGATCAATTCTTTGTCTGGTATATATCGCTTCCCTTCTACCACGGGATCGTAAATATTTACATTCAGACTAACACCTTGTGGTAAAGCTGCCTCCAATACCCTGATTAATACTGAACATTTGACGCAAGATACTTCTGACATTTGGATATTTCTTTCATAAACTTTAAGAGAGTACTCTGATACAATTGCTGTCGTTCCAGTTTTATACTTTTGAATCTTGAATTCTTGAGGTGGTAATGGCCAGCTAAAAGAGAATGCGAATTATATTAAAAAAAAAAAATTGAAAGTGACATCGGAAAAATCTAGTTCAAACTTACCCGTTGTCTACGTCAATCTGTATGATATCTGCCACCTTGTGTACAAAGGACTGGTAACATTCGAGCACAGGATAATCGTAGCCCCTAATTTGTACATTTATCATAGGTAGAAGTGGAAATTTTGATTTTCCTGTCTGTAAAAATTGAAAAACTAATGAAACGTTATGTATATGTTATGAATAAATGGGATTTAGAATCCTGAATATAACCTCTAAATAATCTGGCTCATATAGACTTCCGGTGTAGAATTTTGCCGACAAGATTTTTGTTGCGAGTGAACGTTGTCCGAGCACTGCGATCTAGAATAAAAAAAGCAATTGTCAAACGGTGTATCAATTGCATGTAATAAAATAAGAAAGAATGGTTCAATAATATAAATGTTTTTTCAGGTTATTTTGACGTTCGAAATTCACACATGCGAAGATTAACTCGATTGCAGAAATACGATATACCTGTTTGATCAGATTTAAAGCCATTTTCCATGCGGTAAAATAATTAGGCTGACAATTTTCAGGAAACTTAATTCATAAATCTAATTGAAATTCAATCAAGTCAGAAATTGTCACCAATTGTCACCGGTCTGAGGCGTCACGCGTCAGAGAGAAGCGTGAACTGCGTGAGAGCGGTCACCCCAGATTAAAGTTCGAGTCTTCGCTAAGTGGAGTTCGAATGCGCTATATAAGTGCAGAGAATAATCAATAAAATAATTAAATATATAAATCTCCGCTAAGTGGGATTTGAATCTCCACTAGTGTGAGGTTCGAATCTTCGCTAAGTGGGGTTTGAATCTTCGCTAAGTGGGCTATTCGAATGCGCGCGCGCGCGCTATAAATGCTACAAGTGCGGGAGCATAAATTCCGCTAAAATGTGGTTCGAGTCTCCGCTAAGTGGGGTTTGAACTGTTTGAAGTATAACTATATAACCTGCAAAGAGAAGTGTCCAGCCGCTCGAGGCTCGACTGGACTGCAAATAGGGTGAAATAGGGCTCTCGTCAGCTCTCTTGAATTACAGTTGAGACTCGAGTACCGACAGGCGACAGCCGACGGTCAATTTCCTCCTTCCTCCAGTCGATCAGCTGATTGCTCAAAGATGACGTTTGCGTTTCTCTGTGTGACGTGTCGTTTCATAGAAAATCTTCATAATAAATTAACCTAATGTTTACCAAATTTTTATAATACGTAGAAAGTTTATAATCGTCATACAAGGAGATTATTTTTTATAAAACATAGATCGATATAAAAGTCTGCTATTCTTTGTGCAGATAATTAGGTTAGGAAAGGTTATGAAAGGAGCCATTAAATTATACATGGTGTATCGAAGAAAAGTACATTCCTGGTATCTGCCACTTGTCCTCAATAATCCGCGGAATAATATTTTTTTCTATTGAACACAAATGCATTAACAGCCGATGTTATACAATTTGTTTGTAAAAAAATCATGGATATCGAGACGGAAAACGTGATAAATCTAATATTTCCAGAAGGTATCCCAGGTAAGATTAATTTTGTTGATTTTTTACATTTCATTGTTAATGCATTGTTGTTTAATAATATATTTATACGTATATGTATATTTTATGCAACTGCCATTTCAGAATCCTGGAAAGAAAATCCCAATTTTTATCAGTATCTCTCAAAACTTGGAGGCTTCGATGTAGATCAGCTAAGTATGAATATCTTAATTATCTGTTTAAATTTTACGTTATACATAAGTGAAATGCAGATTTATGCCACGTGAAAAATTTTCAGGTAAGGAACCTGATCATTTATCTGACGAGAAAAACGCCGTGCTTCAGACTACACAAAAATTGGTCTTTGCAAACTATAAAACCTTTATTCAAACAGCAGAAAGCTCACGAGAAATACTTAATCATGTAATTTCCAAAAAATATAGGCTATAAAGTGTATACACACGCACGCGCGCGTATTTGTGCAGAGATTTTTACTATTAACAAATCATATTTTTTTACTTTTAGTTCAATGAGACCGAAAGCCGTCTTGATAAACTCGTACAAAAGATCCCAGAATTTGTAGGGAAATGTCAATCCTTTTGCGATACTTCAAAGGATATTAATGCGCATCGAAGATTAAATAGTTTAACGCTAACGCGAAATGCAGAGCTACTCGAAATTCTCGAGATGCCCCAATTAATGGAATCATGTTTGAGAAGCAATCAATATAACGAAGCATTGGAATTGTCTCAATACGCTCGTCAATTGGGAATGAAGCATGGGGATATTCCTATAATTTTGGTATAAACTTGGCAAAATTTCTTTACGCATAAGCTCTCTCTTTGGTGAGAGCTTATGCATCCTCCTCCCCTCTCTCTTCCCCCGTACATATATTTTTTTTATTAATATTTCAGTCCATAGTAGCAGAGATCGAAAGCAGTTGGTCGGGTATGGTAGGACAAGTAGTTGGCTCTCTTAGAGGGGATCTACCGCTTCCAAGATGTCTTCAGCTTGTAGGTTTGTTACGGTCCATGGATGCATTTACTGAATCAGAACTTCGTATAAAATTCCTTCAAGCGAGAGACAGCTGGCTTCAAGGCTTGCTGAATGCAATACCGAAGGACGATCGTAAGAGGATTTTCTTTAAATTACAATACAATACGATACAAAAGCTGAGTAAATCAAACCGCAAAGAAAATTACATTTTACGCGTATGCCTTTTACACAGCTAATCTTCACATGACCAAAACGATAGAATTATCCAGGATACACTTGTTCAATATAATAACTCAGTACAAAGCTATGTTTAACGACGATGAATTAGTCATTCCCGGTCGCGACTTGACGCTAAATGAATCCGCGATATTTTATCATTGGCTGGAGGAGAAGGTAGGTTTGTGAACAGACAATGCACACAGATATAACGTAAACGGAAATGTGATTAAGGGGTTTTTTCTTTTTTCTAGATATCGCAATTTCTTGCTACGCTAGAGCAGGACTTGCCAAGTGTAACGTCTATAGATACAATTTTGGGTCAGTGTACATACTTTGGATTATCATTCAGTCGAGTAGGTGTCGACTTTACTGGCCGAATGTCGGATATATTTGTACGAGTTATCGGTGAAAGATTTGAGCAGAGCGTTCGTAGAACAACTCGAAAGTTTGAGAAAGATATGGAAACATTTACGTTGATTAACAAAACGCAACGACTTGATGTAAAAACAGAGACTTGTTTTAATTCTGTAAGTATATAAAATTGTATCTTCAAAGTTTTCATTGACTTACAATTACAGCTGTTTTTATAGGAAAATCCGCCTGAACAACTGGTAGAATTTTATCCTCTGGCCGAGTACTGCAACGGGATAATAGCAGCGTTCAATGAATTGAGACTCTGTGCACCAGTGGCACTTTCTGCTTTATGCACGAAATTATTGCAAGAGTCGTTGCATAATGTGGCGAGAGCCATGTTGGTATTTTACAAGCAAGAGCAGCAAGTGGGTTGTCATTATGTCACGTAATATTTTTACTCAACTAAACTCGATATTTTACCAGGATGTATGTCGTAGGCATTTGCTGTCGCGGAACGAGAAAACATGATTAAGTTCACAGAATGTTTGAGCGAACAATTAATACCTTATATACAGTATTGTATACACGCGATTTTTCCACCTGTCCAAATTGCAAAACATTTAGGAATATCAGTCAGTGTACTTCAGAAAGAGGTATGAACGAAACATAAAACTGGCACAAAAGAATGGATATATGTAATGACGTGTAAAATAATTTACAGGAGATGACATATTTAAATAAGCGGAGTATAGTAGAACCTGTGGCTGTACTATTGCCTATTAGAAAAGATTCTTTGGCTTCCAAGTTATGTACGTCTAATATACAACCATTAACGTCACATGATGCAAAGAATCCTTCCATCGAAACGTCTCTACCAATAAAAACTGTGGATTTGAACTCAAAGATTATCGCAACAGAAAAATCAAAAGAGAACGAAATTATTCAACAAGGGACAATACAGAAGCGCGATGTGCAAAATTCACAGAATTTCACCGATAACATAAAAAGTATCGTATAACGTATTTGATATAAAGATCAAAATATTTAATTGTAAATTTGGACATGATGGCTTACCATTCTGTTTGTGTCTGTATGTGTGTGTGCGCGCGCGCGCGCGCGAGGTAGTGTAAATAAAAAGGTTTTTTTTATTACAATCGAGACGCACTTGTCTTTTTATTCTATTTTTTTTCTTTTTTTTTTGAAAAAGCATACATAGGATAAAAATTTGACAAACACGCGAAAGTGCAAAATAATTGAATCTTGAAAGTGTAAAGCAATTAGGCTTAAATATGGATATCGAAAATATTTATTCTTTCATAGACTCTTCCGTAACTTGACTCGGCTGTCCCATTTCGTTCTCATTTTTCTTCTTTTTACTTCCGGAAACGATATCATCTATTCTCAATAATAGGATAGCTGTCTCGATTGCTGTTTTATACGTCTGTAATTTTACGGACAATGGTTCCCATATACCGCGTTCCTTCATATCGACCAATTTTCCCGTTTCTCCATCAATGCCCCAAGTAGTTCCCTCTGTCGCGTGCTTAGCGCGCAACGCCGTTAGAGTTCTGATAGTATTTGCACCGCAGTTTTGCGCCAGCGTCCTAGGAATGATCTCCAAAGCCTGTGCGATCGCTTTATACGGCCATTGTTCCACACCTGCGAGACCTGCCGCCTTTTCCGTCAAGAGCCGGGACACTGCCATTTCCACTGCTCCACCACCTATCAGGGGAGGAGGAGAAGAAAGAGAGAAAAAAGGAAAGATATACATAAGAGAGATCTAAACAATTCGATTGAAAAATAAAACAACAGCAAATTTTACGCACCTGGTACAAGCTTTGGATCGATAAGAAGATTTCTGGCAACGTGCAGTGCATCCTGCAAATTTCTCTCAGTCTCATTCAAGATATCTTTACTAGCACCTCTCAGAATAATGGTACAAGCTTTAGGATCCTTGCATTCCGTGATAAAACAGAAATAATCGTCACCGAGTTTCTTGATTTCGAAAAGGCCAGCTCCAGTGCCAACGTCCTCTTCCTTCAGTTCTTCGGTACGATTGACGACGGTAGCACCGCAGGCACGGGCAATTCTGTTAATGTCGCTCTTTCGTAACCTACGTATCGCGGATATGCCCGCTTTCACGAGATAATGCTGAGCGAGATCTGATATACCCTTTTCCGTTATCACGACATCCGGCTTCACTGAAATGACATCCTCACAGATTTTCTTCACATGTTCCTCCTCTAGTTCCAAAATCTTTGTGAAATCAACATCTTTCATTATCTCTATATTCGTCTGAGATTCGCCCTTTTTGTACTCCAAAGGACAATCCAAAAGTACTATTCTTGGATCTTTGATGTAACGTCGCATTTTCGGATGTGTCACGTCCTTGTTGATCATCACACCCTTCAGAACAGTACTATCCTCTATCGTACCACCGGGTATCTTCTCCACCTTGGCATAACGTTTGATATCAATCTCCCGCCTGCCATTCTCCTCAAGCATCACCGTATGAACAGCGTCCAGGGCGATTTGGCAGGCCAATTCGGACCAACGTCGGATAAATTTAGTGCCTGTACAGGAGTTTATCACTTGGACCAGTTTACTTTTGTCGCTGCAATCTAAATCGATGCTGACTTGTTCATTAAGAATCGTGACCATGTCTTCCAAAGCCTGACGGTATGCTCTTATGATGACAGTGGGGTGCATGTTCTGCTCCAAGAATGGTTCAGCTGTAGCCAAGATCTCGCCCGACAGAACAATGACCGAAGTGGTACCGTCCCCTACCTCTTCATCCTGAGTCCTAGCAATTTCTATCATGGACTTTCCTGCAGGATGCTGCACGGTGATCTCGCGTAGAATCGCGTTTCCATCATTTGTCATTACGATGCCACCCATCGGATCCATCAACATCTTCAACATGGCTTGTGGACCTAGACATGTCCTGATAACATCGGCGATTGCCTGTGTACGAAAATAAGAATAAATAAGAATAAAAACTCGTTAAATATCTTCTTCACGAGAGACGTAGTCAAGTTGATCAATCGAATGAGATTACCAATACCATCGTTTGTCGACTCGAAAAGTTACGCCATAATTGTATTATAATTGAATTTACAGATTTCTTGCAAAAAAAAAAAAAATTTTTTTTCACTGCGAATTAACTCGTACGAGGGGGAGCTTATGTTTAAGTTAATAATACGCGATAAGAGAGAATCGCAATGCGAGAGAGTCAATAATATACTCGACACGAATCCCTCTGCCTTTTCGCAAAGCCGCACGTGGGCGTGTACCTCGTGGAAATCACGAGGAATGCCTTATAAGGCGACAAGTATATTGCTGGCGCAATAGATTAGACGCTCACCTTGCCCGCCTGGATATTCTCTCTCTGCACCTTTCTGCCAGTGTCGCGCTTCGTGTTCTGGCCTGCGATAATTAAAACGTTCATCATGATTAATAAGTCGACTCGTATACATGCGATCGGCCGAAACAAGCGACAAACGAAAGATCGACTTTGACTTACTGAGAACTACAATTGGTGCCGCACCCGGTCCAAACATCGTGTTTTTCCTTTGTTGTTGTACGTTTTTTCCTTGTTATTCACAATATCACCGATTGGCGTGTACACGACTTTAACTTTTCCAGAAAAGGATGAGGAACAAACGCTAACAAACGCTAACCAACGCAGTCTTTAAGATAGAGAAGCCGCGTGAAAGGCGCAAAGTCCCACGAGCATGAATAACATACATTTTATAGAGTTGTCATTTGATTTCAACTGAATGCAGCCACTTGGATAACAAAACAATATTTGTGTGATATTTATAATTTACGCAAGTGAAATAAAGTAAAAAGTTGCATTTTATACGTGTAAAATTATATTGCGTACATAAAATGCAGTTTTTAGTTTTTCAATTAAAAATTGACTTTACCTTTGGTAACGTAGCGCTCTTCAATACCGACAATTCAATACTGACGTTGCCGACAATGCCGACATTGCACAGTCTAGTTTCGCGTGAAATAATTATCTAATATAACTGGATAAATTAAATCGTGCACCGCGGTGCAGCACCGGACGATACGATTTGATTTTCCATGAATAACATATGTACATACGCAATATTTACGCGCACTGGTTTATTACGTATATATATTTTTCTTTATAATATGTAAGTGCCTAACCTAACCAATACGAATCGAAACAGTATGGAGGTTATGGAGTAATGCGGATTGCGGACGTCATGTACATACACAGTCTCGGAGATGGATACGCGATAAGCTTTTAATTATTTGACATCGACATGATGGAGAATACGAGCGATAAGTTTTTTTATGTCTATAGTTCTTCTTTAGATACCAGGATACAAATTAAGATGTAAGTCTGATTTTATATCGTCTTATATCTATTATTGTATCGTGTAACCAAAGTGAGGTTATCACACGATAAGAACATCTTAAGCATTTTTCGGTTTGACGCAAACACATCCATTAATTATGCTGACGTGAAATAATCGGATTAGAGTAGATTAACGTGCGTGCGTGCGTGCGTGTGTGTTGAAACATTCGGTCTTTATCTTTTAATACGGACTGCAGATTGCATACGTAATTGGCAGTCTTTGGAGATATGACGTAAGACATTGGCTCTAATTATTTGACAGAGGTACGTTAGAGGGCAAGAGGCACAGACCCGAGTACGACGAGCTCCTTCTAGACCCTTTACTCAAGTACTCGGGTTTATACGAGAGTGGTGGGATTCGTGGAGATCCAGCTGCGTCTCTGCAGGTATGGGCCGGTGGTAGACCCTTGGCCCTGCCTGTACATACAGCCTATAAGCACTTTACCACACGTTGGAAGTATGTTGTATTTTGCATTTACAATGCTATGCCATCTGCTTATTACTGACAATCAGATATTTTTAGCTGGAACCAGTGGATCTATCTGCCAATTTCCTATACGGATTTGCCACGCGACGCCCAGCTGTGCATAACCTTATATGATTGTGCGGGGCCTGGTAGACAGCTTCCAGTAGGTGGTACGACTATATCGTTATTTGGCAAGCATGGAGTGTATCGACAGGGCATGCTGGATCTTAGAGTATGGCCTGGGATAGAAGCCGATGGCAGTGTTCCAACCAGTACCCCAGGGAAAGCCAGAGATCATGGGAAAGAACAGATGCAAAGGCTCGCCAAGCTCGTTAAGAAACACAGAAATGGACAAATAAACAAAATTGATTGGTTGGATAGATTAACCTTCAGGGAGATTGAATTAATCAATGAGAGGGAAAAAAGAGCGTCGGAATACTTGTACTTGATGATAGAATTTCCAGAAGTGACGATGGATGGTGTACCGGTACGTATTAGCGCGCGCGCACTAAAATAATTTTTATGTAACAAGATAAATTAATGTATCTATTTTATTGTAGTATTCAATTGTATATTATGAAAAAGATGGCGACGAGGTCTTTCAACATAGATTACAGCCGGACGTTGTGACACTTCCAGACTATGAGATTTTACAAGTAAGGATTGGACGAGAAGAGAAATTAGTGATATATGCCGTAAACTTTCAGGTTTGAATAATAAACATTTTTTTTTTCTCCCAGGAGAACCTTGTGGAAGCAAAGCATCATAAATTGGCGCGTAGTTTACGTAGCGGTGGTAATACTCGCGAATTGAAACCTACTTCGACTGTGCGGGATGCCTTAAATACAGTATTGGGATATCCCCCGACAACCGCGCTTTCTACCGAGGAACAGGATTTGATTTGGAAGTATAGATTTTATTTGTCTAGTCAGAAGAAAGCGTTGACCAAGTTTGTTAAGTGTGTCAACTGGAAAGTCGCCGGTGAGGAACGCCAAGCCCTGGAGATGCTAGCTTTATGGGCCCCACCGGATTCTGAGGATGCTTTGGAACTACTAGGACCCGCGTTCACTCATCCGGCTATTAGGAGATACGCGATCAGCAGGCTTAATCAAGCTCCTGACGATGATTTAATGCTGTACTTGTTGCAACTGGTGCAAGCGTTAAAGTATGAAGATTTTGAAAGCATTAAGGCTGCTTATCAAGCAATGTTGAAGGAGAAGGAGGAACGAGTGGAGTCGAAAAATTGGAGCACTGAAAGATTGGAAAGAGCGGAGAAACTCGAGAAAACCGAAAAATTCGGAGATAAGGACATAAGAAGCAGCGATTCTACATCTACTCCGGTTACAACTGTGAGTCAACGTGATATCTCTATAGAATGTGCATAATTACGCTAATATCTGTTATGCCCTAGTGTAACCAGTGATTTACACTTATTTACAGTCTAGCGAATCGGAGAGTCAATTATCGGCGAGTCAAGAACCGCTCATGGATCTAGCATCGTTTTTAATTACTCGCGCTTGTCAGAACTCGATGTTGGCTAATTATTTCTATTGGTATCTCTCTATCGAGTGCGAGGATCAGACTGATCCAGCGATAAGCGCTAAACAAGATACACGAGTTCGGGAAATGTATGTTACCGTGATGAAAATGTTTTCCATGATGTTAGCGCAGGGGAATACCATCTGGCAAAAAAGAAGAGCATTTCTCTTACGACAGAAGGTGTTTATCGATCAGTTGGTGTTCCTGGTAAAAGCGGTGGCGCGAGAGAGCGGAAATCGAAAGAAAAAAACTGATCGATTGAGAACGTTACTCACGGATCCAGATCCAGCGTTCAAGATTAATTTTTCGAATTTCGAGCCGATACCTTTCCCTTTGGATCCGGAAATTTGTATCAAGGGAATTATCCCGGAAAAGTACACATTCAAATTGTTTAATCGTCATGATATTAACAACAATGTTTATATTACGCGTGTTATATTTATAAAATTCACTTTATTAATTTTATAGAGCAAGTCTTTTCAAGTCTGCGCTCATGCCATCGAAACTCACATTCTTGACGACAAATAATACCGAATATATTGCCATCTTTAAACACGGAGATGATTTACGGCAAGATCAATTAATTTTACAAACGATAGCGCTTATGGATAAGTTATTAAGAAGGGAAAATTTGGATTTAAAATTGACTCCGTATAGGTAAAACTTGTTATATTAATAATAACGAGCAATAATACTTAAGACTATGTATATCTAATGACTCGATCATTATTCAGAGTACTCGCAACAAGTACCAAGCATGGTTTTGTACAATTTATCGAATCTACAACGGTTGCGGAAGTACTGGCTAGTGAAGGATCTATATTGAATTTCTTTCGAAAACATCATCCTTCCGAAACCGGACCTTATGGAGTAGTACCTGAAGTTATGGATACGTATGTTCGCAGTTGCGGTAAGCTAAACCAAAATCATACAACCTTATGAAAAACAAATAAATGACACATCATTTAAATGTTACTTCAAATTACGTAGCTGGTTATTGCATAATTACGTACGTATTGGGCGTCGGTGATCGCCACTTGGATAACCTGCTTCTCACAGCATCAGGTACGTACGTTCTCTCATTCGCTTTTGTCAGAGAGATTGTAATTTCTCTCTAATAGACATAAAAATAATTGCCCAATATTTTATAATTCGCAGGCAAACTCTTTCATATCGATTTTGGCTACATTTTGGGCAGAGATCCTAAACCTTTGCCTCCTCCGATGAAACTCAGCAAGGAGATGGTCGAAGCTATGGGCGGCATCGGTTCTGAACATTATCATGAATTCCGGAAGCAATGTTACACGGCATTCCTACATTTGCGTAGACATGCTAATCTGATATTGAATCTGTTTTCGCTGATGGTAGACGCCAGTGTGCCCGATATCGCCTTGGAGCCGGATAAAGCTGTGAAGAAGGTCCAAGATAAATTGCGACTGGACTTGAGCGACGAAGAGGCTGTGCACTATGTACACAATCTTTTAGATTTGTCGGTCACCGCGGTGATGGCTGTGCTGGTGGAACAACTTCACAAATTTGCGCAATATTGGAGAAAGTAATTGGAAAAACGAAATCAATGTACAGCGAAATCATACAAATTGTGTTCCTTTCTAAACGGTTATTTCTAAAAGATTAGATCGTTATATTGTATATAAAACGACCACAGCGTGTTTGTATATTAATATAATTTATTGTATTTTGAAAATATTTTAGGTAATAAATCTTTCATAAGAATGTGATTATTTTCTTGCTCGATATTTTTCCAGCGAGTTCGATAAAGATTTTGTATCTCTGTAAGTGCTCTAAATTACAGTGCATATAATTATGTTCTAACACACACAAATTTACAGGCAAATTTATACAAAGAAAACATATTTATTTTATCAAAATTTTAATAAGCGCGCCTAACTGTGAAAATGTGCTACCATTTTTTTTTGTACTATTAAGGAATGTAAGCTTACCGTAATAGGATATCGATGGTAAAAAAGCAACAAAACATATTCATTGTACATGTAATCAGTTATGTAAATACTCGTATATTTATTTTATTCTTAATTACAAGTGTATGTGGTGCACACAATAGAAATAAATGTAAATAGATAATATTGTTAGCGTTGAAAATATTAGATTGTTATCGACATGTGAAACGCAGAGAAGAGCTACTTTACTCGTTAATTTATGCCATCATCACACTTTATGCCATTTATGAATTTAAAAATCAACAAATATATACTTAATCAATCTTACATCAGAAGAGCTTTTTTCTGTTTTTAATACAAAAAAATGTAGCTATATTATTTCATTTTGCAGTATTATATGCGTCTGTAAATATACACAATTTTAATATAACTTTCTTGATACATACGTACACTTATATACATATATATCAAAAAAATTCATAATTAATTATAGAACATTAACAATTCAGTTTACTCTTGAAGATTCTCAGATTTTTTCCTTATACGCTACGATATTATATCGAGCTATGTTTTGTGTGACATGAGAATACATCAATTTTTTATTTTCCAATATCAACATAATATGTACATACGCGTGACCATAATTAAAAACGCCACGAGAAATAAACACATTGATTTATTCTTGATAACGTGATTTATAACGTGAGATTATAATAAAGAATATAATTTTTTTTATGACATTTTGGTAAATCTGCCTTGCTCGAGGATTGCACAGAATAAAAATCCTCAAGAAACCATCTCCAGCATATTTTGCAATTACAATTTCTTCGCGTTTATAAACGTTCTCCACAGGCTAACTTAGGCACGTCTCAAACACGACAGATTTTGTAACAATTAAAATCTTTGCTCGAGCTCTTCATATCAGTCGCTTCATTAGCACACAAGGTACATTTTATATAAGTGAGATAATAAGCACATTTTTATTTCCTATATGTATATACACACACGCACATACGCACGAACGCGCACGCGCGTATGTATTTTATATATATATATATATATATACCTATATATATAAATATATTGTATTGCCTCTATAAACTAAAACATAAGCTAATATAGAATGACCCTCGTTTCGCTCAGAGCCTTACACATTCTATATCGCGATTCAAATCGCTATTTAAAAATTACACTGTTCACTGTTGAGCAAAGTGAGACACGGCGCAATTTATTATTGGGAAAAGTTAAAAAGTCTTTAAACGATAGATCGAAGGTCTCTCCGTTTCTCGTGTTCGTTCATCGAATTGTAGGGCATACGTGTTAATGGATATATAATCAGAAGTATTGTGCTCTTTGCTTCTCGGAACCATAGCAAATCAAACGACTGCCATAGTTGCAAGTGAATGAAAGCGAGAACATTATCAGTCTCGGTTAATATTAAAGTTACTAAAATTAAGACCTCCATTAGATCTGCTATGGTTCTATTTTGTTTTAAACAATTACACATGAGCTCTTACCTTTTACAACTGTTACAAATGAATAACTGCTTATATTACTTTACATTACGGAGCAGCAGTGAAATCCTGAGATGTTGATTATGATTTTTCTTTCGTTGCGATCGTATGAAATTGAATTTGATCACCGATTATCACATGTTTCCTATGACATGATAAAAGAAATTTCTTTATCGTGCGATTCTTTACCATCACGATTCTCACTATTGCTCCGTCGTAGACACACAGAAATATTAATAGAAATCGAGAATCCTTCATTCGACATGAATCTTTGCGATACTACAAAGAAAGAATAATAATGTAACCTTTATATATAAATAGCTTGCTTTTTTTTTTTTTTCGTTTATTCTAACGATTGTACGGACATTTTTTTCTTTCTTCATTATATCAAACGTCGATGACGATAAAATCAAGACCACAACAATATTTTAATGCAGTGATGAAACTATGCAATATTCGAATTCTAAAATCCACGGACTTATACATTCGTAGTTCTTCCACTTCGCAGTTTTGTCTCCTTTTTGTTTCAACGTGCATAAATACACGTGCGTTCACACGCAAGTGTGCATTCGCTTGTACGTCTAAGAAGCCTAGCAATAAAATCTAACGCCACCTTATAGTCTAAATCTAAGCGCTCACTTAATTATTACATTATTAATTAACTTAACGCGTATTATATTTACATTTAAAAATAGTGATTCTCACAAGAGTTTGTATATGGACGCGGGGTGCGTCCAAGCGTACTGGATCCAGTTTATTTCAAGTGAGAACTTGTGTCGTTACCATTGCCCCCCACGATATATTACCTGTCCATAGGCCTAGTGGCTGGCACTGAGCTTTCCACAAGATCATGCCTCTCGATCGGCGAGTTCTCTAAAGTGTAGTCCACCGGATATCCCTCGGGATACGTTGGCGTGGCTTCACCCTGCTGCCTCAGTCTCAGTTCGCTTGATCTCTCCTGGTAGAAGCTCTGCGACGCCTCGATGTTCGGCGACGAAGACGATTGCTCCGTCTTTCCGTCCAGATCATCCGTGGAATAGTAGCTTTGGCTCGCCTCGCTCTCAGGTCTACTCGGGTCGTAATAGCCGGGCGAGATGCCTTGGCTGGTATAGTTGGGCGTCTCCTCACTTGGAGCAAAATAGCTCTGACTTACCTCTTGAGGATTGCCTTCGTAGTAACCACCAGGCGTGACGTGCTCCTCGTGCGGATCCTCCTCCAGTCGAGAGTTCGCATCCTGATCTACGGATTCGTAGTAACTCGCCGTCACTTCCTGGTGATGAGCGTAGTAGCTCGACGGTTCGTTCCGATGATGATCGCTGCTCTCCGTGACAAAGTTCTGCGAGCAAGTCTCCTCTAGGCCGGGCATTGAAATCGGCACTTCGTACGATGTCGATACGTTCTGCTCGACTATCACTTGGTCCTCATAGCTGGAACTAGGCACAGAGTCCACGTGGTGGGTCGACGTGATGTCAGGATTCAGATTATACGACGAAGAGGTCGGGATCTCCGGGACGCCGTTGTCGTGGATGCTAGGATGCTCCGCACTGACCGACGTGTCCGGTATCACGCTGGACGAAGCAATATTGAGCTCTTCGCATGGCGGTATCTCGTATGATGACGTACTTATCGCACTCTCCTGATCCTGATCGCGCTCTTGGTTCTCGGGTGTCTCCGGTACGTAGGACGAGCTCGCTGTTTCATCTTCATTCAATCCGGAGTTATTTGTCGACACGGACGATGTGCCTATACCATCGGCACCGACGTCGTTGGACTGTGACGGTATATTACCCTCCTGACTGATCTCCGCATCGGTTTCTAGATTCTCCGCCATGCTTTCGCCCTTGTCGACTTCGTAACTCTGCGTGGGAAAGCTCTGATCGTCGATCGCCTCGTCGACACTCGGTCGCTCCACCTGACTTTGCACGATTTCATTGAAGGATTGCGTCGGCGCGTTCACATTGGATTCCGCCGAAGCTTCGTACGACTGAGACGCCTCGTTGATCTTTGTATGTTCAAAGGACTGAGACGGTGGTTCCGCCACGACAGTCTCTTCCTCATCCGTCTCCATCGGCTCGTATGCGATCGACTGCGTGGCTTCGCCCGATGAGCTCTCCAATTTCGAAGCGGATTGACTAGGTAGATCCGTAGAGTCGCTACTGACAGACACGTTGAACCGTTCGTACTGAGACTGCGAAGGCGTTTCTTGACTAGCTTCCGCGACCGCTTCCTGCTCCTCCTCCTCCTCCTCCTCCTCCTCGAAACGCAGTTCCATGCTCTGGCGTAGACGACGTCTGTCGGATTCCTCCTGCGACGACGGCTCGTCCCTCTGACAGTCCTTCACACTTTGTTTGCCAATGGTGCTTCCGGCGAATAGATCTGATTCGACCGCTTCGTCCAGCTCCATAGTTGTGCCATTCGAGGGATCGAACGATTCGGCTGATAAAACTCGCGAAGCTGTTTGCAAAGCCTCTTTTCGCTTCGATGTGCCTGCTCCTCCTACTTGCTGGTCCACCAACTTAGCTTTGTCGCTAGATTCTTCGGAAACCGTTAATTGTTTCAACTTGTTCATCACGTTCTTCTCGTGCGATTTGCTCGCGGTCTTACGTTCGCTCGAATCTGTCACCTCGAAGCTCAGCTGTTGCGTGTCCATGGATTCTATCTGCGAATTAGATTCGGACGTGATCAAGGTGGTTTCGTCTATTGTCGATAAGCCAGTTATCAATGTATCGTTCTCTTTGTTTTTCTTTTCCATTTCTCGTGTGACTTCCATCGTGCTCGAAGCCGTATCTTCGTTAACCGATTGTTGCAGAAGCAGATGTGATTCTTCAGATGTGTTAGGAATTTCCTGAGAAGAGTAAACCTCTTGCAACGTCACAGGCTGCTCTTCATTCAAGTTCTTGTTGGTCGATGTGATCGGTTTTTGCGAAGAGACCGAAATCTGATGCGAGGAAATAATCACTCCCGATGCCGTTACCGTCGGAATATCCTGCGCATTTTCCGATGCCTTGGGGGCCAACATTTCCGATACTGGCACATCCACAAAGGTTTGCTCGTCGGTTGCGACAATTGTTGTAGTTAATTGCGAATTATCCGCGTACGTATCATCGATGATCGGCATCGACGGAGTAGTTTGTATCTGCGGGTTCTCCAGGACTATGCTGTTCGACATAGCGACTGTGTACGAGGTTGACGGTGCGATCGCGATCTCGGCGCTTTGCACGTTCCGCGTCTCCGCGGCCACCGCAATGTTATTCTCTAGATTCGGAATCACCAAGTACTGAGTACTCGTGGGAATCTCGGTGCGATCCATCTCTCCGCTCGCTACTGTCGCCGAATTCTCCATAATCTCACCGATGTCTGGCATCGAGTTACCGGGGATTTGAATCTGTGTCTCTCCCGTGGCGGATATGTATGAAATATTAGGATTCGTAATGGTGACCGGTAGCTCGAGAGAGGATGGGATAGTAGAGACCACTGACGTGGGAGTCGGATCCGTTGACTGAATTGGCAGATTACTCGGTACTTCGAGCGGCGTCATAATCGGTTGATTCAGAGTCAGCGAGGTCTCCAGCACCGAAGGCGAAGATATCGGTTCTGTGGGTGGTATGATGGTCGACTGCAGGATAGTCTGATTGATGAGACTCGTCTGAGTCAGACCGGTTTGGGTCATGACGCTGCTCGCTTGATTCTCTGGTAAATTAATCTCCTGCTGAAAGTCCGTGTTAGCGAGAGCGGCCGCCAAGATATCCTGATTCGACGTTTGTATCACCTCCGACGCGGGAAAACTCTCACTCACGATCGTCGTTTGACTAGCCTCTGTCACGCTGGTTTGAATGTTTGGCAAGACACTGTTGTCGAATTGAAGAACAATGTTGTCCAAGGTTCCGGCCTCTCCCAGAGAACTGGGATCAATGTACAAGGTTCTCGTGCCGTCCGGATTCTGCGTGGTTCCTTCCAACGACATGAGAGCATTATTATCGAGTGGCTGTATCTGTCCCTGTTCGTCTATCGTCACCAACACGTAAGTTTGCGTGCCATCGCCACTCTCTGTCGGCAGTGCCATGATCTGGGGCTGCGCAGCCACCTTCGGCTCTTCCACCTTTTCAGCGTCGCATTTTCCAGCTTTATCTTGTTCCTTCCGAAGAGTACCCGGGACAAGCTGGAGATCCGTTTTTGCCTTCTTTTCCGCGTCGATTGGTTCCAACGAGGATAAAGTAGCGACGCTGGCCGCGGCGACATTTACGTTCAACGTAGTGGCGGTGCTCATCGAGTTCACGGCGATGTTCGATAGATTTTTCTGCGTCTTACTCGAGGCCTGAGATCTGACGGAGGACTTGGAAGTTGTGGGAGTCGTTAGTTTCGATTGGGCGACCGTTTTGGTGGCGATTGGCGCACTGGCGGTTGGAACGGTCGCGACGGCCGTTTGCTTCGTTTGAGCGCTCTGCACCGCTGACAAAGTCGGCTCTTGTATTTTCTGGACAACAATCTTTTGCTGAGTTTTCGTCTGGCGGCTGCCAGTTCGAGGAATGATGACTTTTTGTACAGTTGGCGACACAGCGGCTTTGCCTTTCGACTGCACCATTGTCACCGTTTGTTGCGTATCGCTCGGCGAAACGATGCCTTGAATGGTGGCACCTGGTTGCATCACCGTTTGCTTAATGATCTTCTTACCATGTGACAGGCTTTTCTGAGATACCGTACCGGTGCTGGCGGTGTTTTGAAGAATCAACGTGCTGCCCGTTGGTGATTTTACAGATGGTGACGCCCTTGTTTGCGAGCCTGCGGCCGCCGTTACCTGCGGCACCTTCGGAGACTTTTGCAGTATCGGCAGCTGTACCTTTTGCTGTAACTGATATTGCACCTTGCCTCCTTTAACCGGGCTCTTAGCAGCGATGGCTTTAACCTGTTGTCCGGTTATCGGTGTCAGGATGGTACCTTTATTGCTGACGACAGCTTGCGTGCCCAATATGGTTTTACCGGTGATGGTTTGAGATACCGGGGTCAAGATCGCTTTCGTGCCACTTAAACTTTGAGCTTGGGGAGTCAAAAGAGTCGCGCCACCTTTCGTAACTAGAGCCTTCGAGCCGATGATCGTCTTCCCGCTCAAAGCCGAAGCGCTAATCGGAGTATAGATGCCATCCTTGGTGAGAATTCCCTGGGACAACGTGCCTAGCAACGCTGTTTTCGCGATAGTACCTGAAATTGGAGTAAGCACGCCCTTGGACGTGATTATGCCCTGCGTATTGATGATTTTATGACCACTGGTGGTCAATTTGGACGTGGTAGGCGAGCTAGCGGCCGCGACGGTATCAGCCTTTGGCGCGATAATGGTCTTGGTAGCGATTATACCACCTTGTGGATTAATTGGGCACAGCAGCTGACCTTTGCTCGTCATGATCCTCTGTACTTTGCCGCTCAGAGTCTTGGAAATGTTCAACGGCACCATCTTAGTCTGGCAAGACTGTCCCGACGTCAATATAACGACCTTGCCACCTTGTTGAATCACTTGCGCGTTGCCCGCTGTTTTGCCGCTAGTTGAAATGGCAATTTTCTGTTGAGTACCAGACTTGCCTTGAACACTGTAACGCAGTTGTTGGCCACCCGCGGTCTGCACGACGACATATTTTCCAGGAGTGGTACCTTTCGGCGTCAAGAGGGCTGGCGTTTTACCGGCAGGTTGAGCGCTTTGAAATTTCAAGCCTTTCACTCCACCGGTGAATGGCGGTTGGTGAATCAACGGTTTAACGCTCGTGACAGTTGGTTTCGCTTTGCCCTTGGTCTTCAATATTGCTGGCACACCGCTCTTCTTTTTTGTTGGCGACGCAGACGTTTCCGCCGCCGCCGTGCTCTCGTTCGCAATCTTGAATTGAGTTTGTTGAGTGGGCGACACTATCTGCGTGGTCGAAGTAAAGGAGAGCGTGGTCGGTGATAGTGAGCTGGAAGCTGGTATAATGGAAGATATAACAACGGGCATCTGTTCAATGCTCTCTGGCGTTAGCACGTCCTCGCTGAGGACGAATGGCATCGAGTTGATGTCCAGTTCCATGTCAGCGAGACTTTGAGCACTCTGTTGTACGTATTTTTCTGTTACCGGCGCAGTCACGATAGTCTGCGATGTAGCTGCACTTTGTTCTTTATTCTGCGCCTCCAGAAGCGCATCTGTCTCCTCTGTCTTTAATACTTGAAGCTTTTTAGTCAGAGATATGTGCGGGCTGGACTTTATAGCAGCAGTTTTCACCTTGCTGTTCGATGGCAGTGTTTCTATTTTAATTATCTTTGCTTTCGGCCCACTCTTTTGATCATTCTTCTTCGTAATATCCGCTTCGAGCTTGTGCTTAATACTCTTCTGCGGTACTTTATCGAGTAACTTTGTCTTTAGAATTTGCACCGGTTCAGTCAACGTAACACTCTCTATTATTCGCGGCATCTCACGTTTCTTTACTGGTACGCTGATATCAGACGATAAAGACGACGTGGCTATGGACGTTTTCGGGATTTCATCCAAAATTTTGACACTCGAGATACTGGCGTTATTTTCGGAAACGGGAAGTGTTTCCGATTTAGATGTGATAACAAATTCGCTGGTCAATAATCCATCAGTTTCGAGAACATTAGCTCCAATTTTGGTGTCAATCTCAAGCTTTTCTCCGACAACCACCTGAACATTTTCAACATCACTCGCAACCGGGACGTTTCCTTCAGTTTGAATATCTTTAGAAATCTCCGCCAAATCTTTGTTTAAATTGTCGATTTTTTTACTTTGTGCAGATGCAGCAGCGATACTCGCATCAATCTCTTCAGCTTTTCTTTTGATAGCCTTCTTCTCCTTTTTTCCCTTGGTTGACACCTCAGCGCTGTCAACTGTAATCTTCTTCTTATCCATTTGTAAAGTTTTCAGGAAAGCCTCCTGGAATGTATTGGCCGGTCTTTCTTCCAAGAATAAGTCTTTGTCTTTTCTTCCTTTACCTGTTTCTGGAGTAAATTTACCTTTGTACCTCGTTTGCATTGGGGATTTTTTGGGTGTCAATTGTTGCTCGATTAACGTTTTCGTTGGACTCTTTGATGTATTTCTCGCATCGTCTGCTTTAGGTGATTTTCCCGGTGACTTCAATTTAAACTGATTGACATCTTGCATCTTCTGCGACACTTCTTCCTTCATCGATTGCACCTCTTGTTCTTTTACATCTGATTTTTTTATTTTTTTCTGCAGCTCGGAGCTTTGCAGATCTCTTCGCTGTTCGTTCAAAAATTGGTCAATTTCTGTTACCTTGCTTGACGCTTTTATCTCGTCTTTTTTATTTATTTTTTCTTCAATATTTCGTGATTCAGATTGAGGCTCGATCTCACATTCAATTTTGAGTCCAGATTCAACTTTACATTCAGGCTCAAGCTCAGGCTCTGCTTCCGCCCTTTTATTAGCTTGAATATCTACGTCAAAAAAATCTATTTGCGACAATTCAAATTTTTTAATTTGAGATTTCTTCGGTGGCAGCATATCTACGTTCGTTTTCAGGGCATCTTGTTGTATCTCAACCTTATCGGCAGTATCTTCAGTTTGCTCCACGATCGATGGCTTTTCGTGATCTCTAAAGTCTTCCTCGGTACCCTTAGTTTGCTTTGATAAACCTTTCTTCTCCGTTTCAGATTCCTTCACAGTTTTATCTACGTCAAGTCCTACCCCTTTCTCCCTTTTATTCGTAACTTCTGACTTCGGAAATGCTGTTGTCATTTCTACATCTTTCGAAGATACATCTATGTCAACTTTTTCAGTAGCTACTTCAGCCAAAGATGTTACTCGTTCCTTGAGTACATCGCATTTTATCTCTTCAGATTTTCTTTCTTCTTCTTCTTCTTCCTTTTTATTCTCAGATGCTTTGTTTTTTATATCGATCGATAAGATGCTGACATTGTTTTCCGCAACAGTCGACGTTTGATCGGATACTTCTATTTCTTGCTTATCCATTTGAGCGACGAATTCGTTGCTCCTCTTGTCAACTCCTTTAGAGCGTCTGCCTCTTCTAGATTTGCTTACGACTCTTTCGGAAGCCTTAGTTTCACTTTCAGATTGGCTCTCGTCCGTCCTGAACGTCTTATAATCAGGATCTTGAACGTATATATCGGATTGCAAATATTTCTTGTTTGGTTTGCGTCTCCTGCCGCTATAAGAACGATCCGTATCGGAATCCGAAGTCTTCCGTTCAATTTCAATCCTTTCGCTCACACGACTTCTCTTGTTGCCTCTGTTAGCTTTCGTCTTTGGACTTTTATTCACACTAGTATTGCTAGCCGATCTCGCGTTCTTGCGTGGTCGCCCTCTTCCTCTTTTAACTAATGTCTGGCCAATATTTCCCGAGAGACTATCAACACTTTGATCCAACAACATATCAGTATCTGAATTTTCACTTTGTTCAGGTACAGTTTCTGCAGATTCCGACACGGTCTCATCCTCAGTTTCTGTGGTAAATCGTTCCGACAGAGTGTCGTCCGCTTCTTTCAACGAAGCGCTGTCATTAGATTCGACGATCGCGTCCTCTGAATCAGTTTTCTCAGACTGTGGTAATTTTTCATGGCCAGATTTGATAGATGTTTCGTCTTTTTCAAACCTTTTGTTTCTTTTTACTGGTACATTGGATGCAGTCTTGGATTTCCTTTCAATATCCTTTGTATCTCTCGAAGAATGACCATTGTCACCATCTCCTTTCTCAACTTGAAATTTTTTCGCAATCTCTACCTCCATATCGCAAGTGTTAATATTAGACTTCTGTTGATTATCCTCGGATTGCTTAGATTTCTTTTCTTCCTTTTTATCTTCATTAGATTCTTTTTTTTTGGTTCTATCATCAAGTGCACTCTCATCAAGCTTTTCGCTTAATTTAGTTTCCTTCTCTTGTCGATTGTCTCTACCTTGTATTATTTCCATTATTTCGTCAGCTTTAAATTCCATATTCTTACCTAATTCAGATACTTTGTCGGCTTCTCTCTTAATTTCGTTTTTCAGAGCTTGACTCATTTCGAATTCCTTGATAATTTCTTTTTTCAAGGACAAATTTTTCTCGCCGAAAACTCTGGGAATTTTTCGTACCGGCGGTATAGAAGGCTCGCTCAAATCATCTTCATCAAAATCGAAGCACGATAGTCGTGATTTTTTGTCATCTTTGTCGGAAATATGCTTGCTCTCACTATCAGAACTTGAAGTGTCTCTCTTTTGTGACTTGTTTAACGTTTCATTAGATCTGCCAGTAGTCTTTGTAGACTTTTCGGAGTTTTCAAAATCGGACTTTTTGTCGAAACTGAATTGTATGTTTTTTGAAGAGTGTAAATTGTCTAATGAATCCCGCATCATATGTATCGAGGATAATTGTTCAGTTTCCTTAAGTAGTTTCTCTGTTTCTGCTATAATTTCATTATTCTCCGTGGCTTCAGCATTTGTCTCGCGGCAATCCTTGGCATCACTTGTGCTTGACCGATTCTTTGTAGGTGAAGTACTTAACCTACTATTTAGAGAATTATTTACATCAACACTCGTTTCTTCTTCATCCGATTCGTCATCCCAGTCGGCTAACAATTTTTCACGTAATTCAGGATCGCTCTTCTTTTTCTTATTGGATTTTTCGGTCTGCTTCGAGAATTTCCGTTTAATTGATTCCAGTCTGTTCTCGGTCTTCTTTTTACTCGATTGACTTTTATCTTTCTTCACGTATTTTCGTTTTGGTGTACTTGTATCAGAAATTCTACCACGCGACGGAGAGTACGTTTTTACCTTTAATTGTGGCATTGGTGAGTCGTCGGATCGATGACTTTTTATGTGACAAATAATGACGTTAACGCGCGAAGAAGTAAAATTACAGAAATGACAGCGATACACCGGGGAACCTGCATTAATCGGAGTCGACGGTAAACTATTTGGTTGTTGACGAATGCGGACCTCGTGATCGCTCTCCCCACGCAAAAAGCGTGGATGTGTTATCTTCCTCGCGATATCTCCGCCATCACTCCGCCTATGTCCTTCCTCGCGATCGCGCTTTTTCTTCGGAAGTTTCTTCTCACCAAACAGAGCGGAGATGTCCGGTTTCTCTTCAGGACAAAATTTCTCCTGGTTCAGTATATCAGGATTGCCTCCTGTTAACTTTTCCGCCATTTCCACGTCAACTGGAAACTTGTCCATATAACTGGTACCATCTTTACTCTTGGTTCTATATTTATCTATTGACACAAACAAAACAGAATTATTTTTAATATAAAATTTAATTTAAAAGAAAATTTCTATTACAATTTGTATTATACTTACCCATACCCTTTTTGATAAATTCATCTTTAAGCGTACAATTGTACTTGTAGATCTGTTGGTAATTTTTCACAAATTCACTGAAAGAAAAATTGTTAAAATAATTGCTTTAATCAATTTGTTTTATCCACCAAGATTATGTAACAAAGCTAAAATTTCTGTAACTTACTAAGTGTCTTCTTGAAAAAATTTTACAGCAGCTATTAATGGCTTCTTTTTAAATTCAGTTTGTATTTCTTCTGGCAAATTATCGAGTCCGATGACTCGACCAGGCCACCAGCATGCTCCCAATTTTACCCAAACAACATCTCCATCGAGATAATTGATTTCCGTTTGCTCACACATCTTGGCAAAGTATTATACAATTCGATTCTTTTATAACATCAACATTGGTAAATATTGAGAGATCCCTTAAATCTATTCCTCTAAAAGAACATTAGCACATGCCCAGAAGATTGGTATTCCTACACGATGAAGAAAATTTCCATAAATTCTACCGTAATTACAACATATGATTAAAAGACTTGATACACAACTACCATTCAAAAGGAAAAGATTACCTTTATAATCATATATAAGTGGATAATGCAAGCAAGTTGTGCAGCGTCTCAGATAGCCCAATATTTCTCTTTCAAACAATATTTTTTTATTCTCCAAATGCATGAACTGTTGAATATACTACACAGCACACGCAATCCTCATCTATAAACCGCCGCTAGATTTCGCAGAATTCACACTTCAAATCAGCAACTATTACTGTATGTCCATCCAAACGTCTCGTCGTATCTGTAGAACGAATCGCAATTGTCTCTTAAGCGAATGTCCCTCCGGAATCCCAAGCATGCTCCCTGGCGACAATCATAAAAATAACACTGGTTCAGAATGAAGCCCGTGTGCTAGTGTAATCGCCGGCGCAAACAGGCTTTCCACAGGTGTAAAAAGATCCACTCGCGAAAAAACGAAAATGCGTGGCCCGACTACGTGGTCTAGCTGCCTCGGTGCTGACGTCGCTGACGACAGCTACGTCGGGCATCTTAGCCCGTGAGTCGCGCGTGACGGGCAGAGTCAATCTTGGAGATTTTTCTTCCGATAGGCGCACCTCTGGGTTTCCGTTCCAGGCGAACCGCCGCGCCGGCTAAAAGCGACGAACACGCTACGAATTGTATGATGCGTCGCGCGGAAAGTCAGCAAGCGTCGCCCCAGGAACGCAACGGTGGAAGGCGCGAGCGCGAACCACACACGCACGCGCGCGCGCGCGCGCGCCCTATCTCTCTCTCTCACTCTTCACAACTCTCTCTCTCTCTCTCTCTCACTCCGTCCTTATCTCTCCACTTTGTTCCTTCTCACTCGTTCTCACTCGCTCACACGTACGTTCGTTCGTTCGTTCGCTTTTACTCGCGGCAGCTCGCACCGCTGTATCTCACCCGCCTCGAAACGCACACTATTCCACACCACTCGGATGCCGCCAGATACGCCTCGAATGTAGGATTTTCACTCGCACGCATAAAACCGCGAAAGGAACGGGCCGGAGCCAAATTAGGCTGTGCTCGGCGGCAACGTTTCGAAGGCGCTACGTCGTTCGCGCAATACGACGTACGTACATGTTCGGTTACCCGACTTGCAACGGGGCCTCACAGCCCTCAGACGATAGAATGTAGATGGATACGCGATGGCTAAATGTATTTCAGACAGAATACTACCTTCTTTCTTTCGACCGTGTCGTTGCTCGTCGCGACTCCGACACAGGTCTGCCAACTGCCAATTGCTAACATCAAGTGCAAGTCACGCGCGTCTTTCGAATTTATATTAGCCACGTCCTTTTCCTTCTCCCGCAACGACGGCCGGATATGTATTTCTTCTGAGATAATTCTTGAAGAAGTTTAACACTTTTCGTCCAATTTGTGAACAGTTAATCTGAAATAGGAAACAAAAAATAAGAATTTCAACCCATAAGAAATCGTATTCCATAGTATATATTGTATACATATATTGACGGCACCCTAAGTGAGGTTCGAATCTTCGCTAAGTGAGGTACGAATGCATGCGCGCTAACAATAAGTGCAGCGGGAGAATAAATTCAATAAATTTTTGCTAAAATGTGGTTCGAGTCTCTACTAAGTGGGGTTTGAGTCTCCGCTAAATTTATAATATACATATATATTTTACTCAGAGGAGCAGACTCAAACCGCACTTAGCGGAGACTCGAATCACATTTTACCGGAGGTTTATTGTATTCTCCCGCTGCACTTATAGCGCGCGCGCATTCGAACCCCACTTAGCGGAGACTCAAACCTCACTTAGCGAAGATTCGAACCTCACTTAGGGTGCCGTCCCCCATGGCAGAGATTTTCACGTAACGCGTATTGCGTAACCAATCAGAGGCGTTACGCGTTTTCTGTTACGCAAAATTTACGAGGTGAGGGTACCCTGAGACGGCACTCTCACCTCGTATCTGCAGTATCGTAGCTCTATTCCAGACAAGGATCGCGCGGTTTTTCTTCGTTCCGAATATTCCGTCATTCCGATTGGTCGATCAAACGCATCGAATAGTGTCCCTAGAAGTATCTTTTAGGAACACCCTAGCATCGAATTTGCAGCGCCAAATGAGAACATTCTATATAATCGATAATCAAAGTCGATATTTCGGAATGGCGCGAAAACGCGCCATTCGCGGAGCTCATCCGCGAATTGGCGCGGGGCGCAGTGTGTTACCAACCTGTGTTGCTGCGGGTGAGTGGGACGACTGACGAGACGATGGCGCTGGCGTCGCCAGTCGCCCCGTCGACGCCGTTCGTCTCCTCGTCGTGTTCGCGGCGCGGTTCGACCGGGCAGTTCTCGACGACGCCGTTCAATTTTTCTCGGCGCGCGTTCCGCTTGCCACCGCTTCCCGGGATAATACTGCCGTTTCACGAGTCGTGACGCTTTCTCGCTGACATCCTCGACGTCGAGATCCGGCTGCTTTATCATATTTCTTACCGATTTCTCACCGCGTCTCCGATTTGACGCCGGAAGTGCACGCGGTTCATCGTCGCGTCTGCCTCGCGACGTGCGTCTTTGCTCGTTATCGCTTGACGGAGCGCAAGAAAATGGCGACTGCTGTGCCGTCGCGATTCGCCGTTCTCAGCATCGAGGACGATGATTATAAACCGAAGAAGACGCAAAAGAACGCGACAACGAGCAAGACTAACACTAAGAATAAGGCTGACAAGTCGAAGCAGCAACAACAGCAGCAGCAACAGCAGCCGAACAAAAAAAAACAAAACAAAGTATGACGTTTACATCCATCGTTGGGTTTTTGTTTTTGATTAGCTGGCGGAACGTTAGCCGGATACGACGTCGCGGCGGGAAGTTGCAACGTTTTTTAAATACTTTTGTCTTGAATTTTTTTTCTTCATTTTAGGGAAAAAAGAAAAAAACGAATAACGATGACCAGCAGTGGGAACAGTGGAAACAAAAGGATACAATGGTAAAATTAAATTTTTGACCGAATTATACATATATATATATATGTATAATTATATATATATATATATATACGTTAATCCGTAAGATTTATCTATCAAATAGTTCTTCCTTGTTTTATTTCTAAAATTTGTCACGTCCAAATATATTTTATCAAGAATTTTTTAATATTTTTTCGTTTGTCAATTATTAAATAAATTAATTACAAGATATACAATGAGAAATTGAGAGGATTTTTGTCTGAAATTTTATTGTAATATGAAAAGTCCAAAAGATCTCACAATCAAATAATTTTACATTTTTTACTAATTTTTTATATCTCTGATAATTGTATATAACTCTATTATCTTTCATCCTTATTTTCTTCTTTCATATCCAATTATATTTACTTTAAGGCTGTTGAGGAAACATTTGAACAAGAATTGCACCAAGCCATTCTGTTGTCAAAATTGGCATACGAAGAACAATTAGTTAGCGTAGCGAAAAATGAAAAAGATCATGAACAGAATAAGAAATCTGGTAAAAAATCGAAAAAGGCAACTATGTCATTGGAAGAATTTAATAGCATGGGAACTAATGTGACAGTAGCATCAATAACAAATGAACCTGCAGACAAGTCAAGAGGTATGATTATGATTTTGTTAAATAGTTTGAGAATAAATAATTTATTTCTAATTAGCTTTGTAAAAAGATATTTGTGTTTAACTGATAAACGATCTGTCTTGTGTAGAAGTAGACGCAGAATTCTTTGAGAGGATAGAGAAGGAGACGAAAGAAGAAATAACAAAGGGAAAAGAAAAGGATATGTTAAAGGCTAGATTAAATAAAATCGACGACGATATAACGTTTGCGCAGTTAAGAGTAGAGATTGAAAAACGTGATGAAATAATTAGCCAATTGAGAACCGAGGTACATATGATGAAAGAAGAGTTGACACAAGTTAAGGAGAGAAATAAAAAACTTTATCAGATATTATCACATGGCGAGAGTAAGTATCACACATCTACGGATTGTATCACATTTTTAATGCATCAGATACAATATAAATTTTTGTTATTTGCAAATATCTCTTTTATTTCAGTGAAGGATAAAGCATCAGTATTGGCTGAAGTTGCAAAGCTACAAGAGATACGAGACGAACTAACATCCGAGGTAGCTTCTTTACATGCTCAACTGGAGCAAGAAAGATCTAAAACACGTACATCAAGTGTAGATGTAAAAACATCTAAACAAACTGTACGTTCGATACATGGCTTTATCGATTTCTTTTTTTTAAACATATAAGACAATTTTGTGCTTACTTGTGTATCTTGTATGTTTACAGAACAAGAAGAGGCCGGCCAGTGAAAATGCCTAATTCGTTTTTCACGAAAAACTACTATTGTGATCAATTAATTTTAATTAACGATGCATATTGAGTAAGTAGCAATTTGAAAAGAAGGAACATTATATTTACAAAGGGAAATGTTGATTTTTCATTGCAATACAATGTACGTTGTACTTTGACAAGTACCACATATATTGTATTTGTTAAAAATAAGTTTAAGATACGTTAGACAGCAGTTAGCTGATCGTTTTGCAAAATATATATCTTGAAAGTAGGATTACAGTCTGTGTGTTGATAGTTTTTCATTTTTGTTTTTTACAAGACTGTAATGCATGTATTTTATATTTCTTTTCTTAATAAGTTTAGTAAGTTTCAAAAATTCGAGAATATTACGTTAAAGAAAAATTTTCTGAAATATTTGCTAACGCTCTTCCAAAATAAGGATTTAATGTAATGTATCATCTTCCGAATTGTGTATTAACATATTATACATACACGTATTCGTGTGAATATAAATTCACACATATACACACACGGGCATGTATGTATGTGGTCGATATATATATATGTACGTGTATGTGTGTGTATGTGTGTATTACTTGAAATATTTTGTAATAAATATATATATATTCTACACAATACTGTCAATCACTTTCATTCCTTTTAAGTGTTCAGATAAACATGTGTTAATATATAATTTGTGTAACAAATTTAACATTATTATTTAATCATTTAATGAGTAAAGAAAAGTTGTTTATTATTTCTTTAACGAGTATTACTCTGTTATATCTCAATTTGGTGTGATTTTCTATATTTCTATAAAAATAGCTTTCTCCACAAAATTTTCTCTTATAATTTTTCATTCTTATTTGTGATCAGAGACTAATCTTAATTTATCTTAACTTTCATTCCAAGGTATTAAGAATTAATATTCTGAAATATATCTAGTGCTACGAGTAATGCGGGATAAACTTAAATTTTGTTAAACATCACAAAACTCGAATAAAAAAGATTACGCTTGTGACTCACTATCCGAGTTTATTAATAAGCGTAACGCGTGATTTCACGTTAATGTGCTGATTTCCGTAGTCGGACAATTTTGTTTCTGCCCTACGTAATCATTGTCATCTCCATCTACCAATTTTCAGTCCTTTCAACGATTCCAGAGTGGGCGGCGCTACGCCCATTCGCTACGATACTAAGCTTCATCCGGATTATACGTGCGGTTGCGCATTTTTATGGAAATTTTTTTGTCCACTTTTTCTGCCTCGAGTTATTCCGCGTGAATTTTTTTCGAGCTCGCTCCCGGCAACTTCAACATGCAGTTCGATACGTTACACCTCACGTTCCGATTCTTTCTTTCTTTTTTTCCCTTTTTTGTACGGCTTTGCTCCATTCGTTCTCCTGCAGTACATACACATAAAAAAGAGAATTTTTGTGTTCCGCGTTAGCTTTACATAAATTATAAATTATATTATATCTCATACGAAGAAAAGTATTTTATTTTATTTTATTTCTCGATTATTTTATTCTGATGACAAAAATTATATTATTATTTAATACATATGTAAAAGACATTGAAGGAATGTTAATGATTCATATATCGATATCAATTACACATTTTGTTTATTTAGTTTACTTCAGGTATTTTGTTTGAATATCCTAATTTTTCGTAGGAAGCACAAGGTTTTAATCTTTAATGTGAAATGTTGCGAATTTTACGGAAGAAACGTGACCATTAGCTGTGTCAATCGCAAAAATTGCGATAATTATGTCAAAGAAACCGCGATTAATGCGATTTAATTTTATTCGGAGACTAATGCGTGTTGGCGACGTGGACACAGACATATCCTCGTTCGTGAGATCATGACCAATAAAAGGAGCATTAGAGCTAAGTGGACGCTTCGCCTACTCGATCATATGTATATAGTCGTGTTTGTTACGTGAGAGCAAGAGGGTGGCAAATATAATACGAGGGACGCGTTTAGCGACAGATATAACTGCACCAACTTAATTCGCGACACTTTTCGCCGATATCCAATTTTTAAAAAATAGAAGAAGATAAATATTAGATAAACACGCGCGATGATTCATATACAGGCGACATCTTTTTCTCACGAGGGATTTACATATGTACATCTATTGCAAACAACTCAGAGCTTATTTTTTGTATACTTAACTTTATCATCAAGTGCCAATAATTTTTTTGAATGTAATAAAAAGATTTTCTTTTTCTCCTGTAAATATGATAGAGCTAGGCATTCTCTCTATAAGGTTCAAGATTAAAATCCTTTCGATCTAATAGAGTAATTAATTGCCGAAATAGACAATCTTTCACAATCGGGCAATTGCGCTTTCGCTTTATTGAAAGTTAAAAGTTGTTTTTTAGGATAAAACGTGACTCTCGAATCCATCGCTGTTGGAGAAAGAGAAAGATAAGCGTAGTAGGGAAAGGAGAAAAATGTGTGTGTGCGTGTGCGTGAGAGAGAGAGAGTGAAGGAGGGAGGGTAGGGAGGGGTGAAGTGGGGAGAAGAGGATGTCGAAAGGGAACACGGTGGATTGAGGGTTTTAGGACGCGCGACGGTATAGGGGGTGACAGTGGGGATTCATTATCTGACAGTCTATTGTCATTTCTGCGGGCTGAGATTTTGCTTGGGCCACGAGTACCGAGGCATTACTCTACTCGGATGTGTGTGTGTGTGTGTGTGTGTGTGTGTGTGTGTGTGTGTGTGTGTGTGTGTGTGTGAGGAGGAGAGGGTGAAATGCAATACTCTCTCTTTAAAAATACGTTTGTTGAAAAGTCGGTGAGATTCTCTCTTCAGATAGCTGCATTTTCTTCTACGCATAACGGCAATACGATAATACCTTTCTCTTGCATTTAAATTTATCCATCAACGAAATTCGATATTTTTTTTCGTGATGGTGATTTGTTACACCAAACGTTTTTAAAAAATTCTTGTTACAAAGGTTAATTTTATTTAGTTTATAGTAACAATTGTTATTGCTCTTTTTAATTTCGACATCTGCATTTTCCGTTTCACTTTCTGTCTATTAATAAAATTGTGATATTTTTGATAGTTTAGTTTTGAGCTAGATTAATAACAAACAAAATGATTGAAAAAAGTTAGGAATGCAAATATGCGTTTTGTTCAAACGATGGTTGAAAACTTCTTGCTTGCGTCTCGATCTCTTTAGCGGGTAATTATACCGTCCTCATGCATGATAAATTAACATCGACGAGAGATTACGCCTCTCAAAGACAATCACGATGTGTTGTAATATTTATCAGATTACGTTACATCTCTCTCTCGTTATTCGCGACGAAATGCGAGATACGAGAAACGGAAAAGACGAACGGACAATTAATTCGAATATTAGGCAGGAAAATGAAGGAGTCGCGGTGACGGATTCTCGACGGGAGTACTCAGCTCGTTGTCACGTCGACGTTATTCATCCCGTGTACATCCGCGGTGTCATTAACGCTCTCCCGCGGATATAGCGCCAAGTGTGTCGTCTGTGTATATTTACTATATTGTATATATTGCCAAGCGGCGAAATTAAGATTAACGAGGAAAGTATTTCTGCGTCGCGAAGGAGTTTCTTACTAACGACGGAAATGACGAACTTTCCGCAGGATAATGAGATCGCGCAAGATAGCCGCGCGCGATCGACGATCGCATCCTCGTTCGATCGAAATAATATCCGGAAGGATAACTCGTCAAACGACACCTGGATTCGTATAATTCGATACAATCGCGAGCGAAGATACTCGACGGTCTCGGTTTATAGCAACGACGTCTGATTTTACATCAATTTTGCAAGAGCGGCTCATCGGAAAGAAAAGAAGAAGAAGGGGACGGTGGCAATTTAAAGAGATGGTATAATATTCAGTATGAATGCGAATTCACGTTATTATTTCATGAGAAATATTGTGTTTATATGAGTGACGAGTATGTAGGTATGTCGATTGCAAAAGTTTTGTTACAATTAAGTCTCGTAACAAAACATATTAACAAAGCTCGTAATAAGCTTACATACACATTTAGTATCTTACACTTTGCAATTTCTCATTTTAAAAAAGATCAATTTCAAATAGTTCAACAATTTCTGAATGTGTCCTTTGACGAATTCGAGTATGTCGAAAAAGTTGTTAATCTTTTTCAATCGATGGATGGATCGTTACTTTCAATCTGCGATGTGTGATTCTGACATTGCCTCTGATATTGTAATTTCATTGTTAGTTTACAAATGTAGCTCCCCAATAGTAGTTTAAGTCATTGAGCAATTATAATCCATATCGTCGCAGCCGGTAGACCTCTGAATACGTAATATGTCACGAGTCCGATTACATCGCTAAGATCAAGTAGATTCCGCACACGATGTATCAAGCGATCAAATCGCATCCATATTCAGTGCACCGTTCGGCAAATTGGCGTTTAAGACAAGATACATTCCGCAAAGGACAACCTCGCTCGGTTTATCGGTTGAACTTTAGTTACTATGTCATAAGCTAATTGATATCCTTCGAGACAGAAAGTTTATTCACATACAAGAGAATGCGCTTGGAATATGATCGTTATCGCTTTTATTTAATAGTGGACGTACGTATGTTATCAAAAAATATATCGCAGTGCTCCATTTCCAGTGCGACACTTTTGCTTTTACGATTCTTTCCTTTGCCTGTCGTTAAAGAAAATGAAACTATTTTACTATAAAGTTATAAAGTACAAATGGAGAAAAATATATATAAAGAAGAGTAAAACATCAGGCGAAAAGTCGTCACATTTCTATACGTTTTATTACTACGTGAGGTCGATCGTGATCGCGCGACTTTGATTTTGATTACCGCACGAGTTCGAATCGAGGAGGTATTCCTTGCATACCGAGGTCGGCGTTACGCGATGCGTCGCACAGTGTCCGCCTGTCCATCCGTTCATCTCGATGCACGCGCACGTGAAACGATTAAAGTTTTACAAGTATCGATTCTATCATGGCGTTAACGTTGACAGACAGAGGGATCGTCAAAGAGCATAATAATTACTGCAAGCCCGTAGAGAAGAGGCTCAACCCTTTGTTCTATAGTCATTTTACGAAAAGGGGCTGCTCGCGCGGGGGATGCCGCGAAGGGGTCGCTCACGGTTGGAGAGCATCCGTTTCAACCGCACCATTATGTAATTGATCCGAGTCTTTCCTACGAACGCGATCCTATCATTCGTTTCGAACAAATCTTCCATCTCGTTTTGAAAACGTCAAGAGGAACGTGCGTGTGTGTGTGTGTGTGTGTGTGTGTGTGTGTATGTGTTTTGAGCTAACATAGCGAAATAAGAAAATTCTCTTTTCTATTGTATCGATTCTTAAAGAAGGGAATGATATATTTATCTCTTTTTTCCTTTGTCAATTTTGTTTATCAGTTTTATTAATTTGAAGAAGATTAGAAATTCTCTCATAATTTTTAGTTTGATTATAAAGATGAAAAGTGTAGAGATACATACATATATTTATTGTCATACGAAAGAGTTAATTGTTAGCATAATACAATCGAATAATGTTTTACATATTAACATTTTACATTTGACGGCCTGCGAATATAATCTAGAAAATCCGCTCGTTACCGCGCGAGATCTTTTTGCGCATACGCATATGGAAAAGGGGAGATCGCGTTGCATCGGGCGCGCGATTCGCAGATTCCCGAATTCGCCGCGGAGAGAGTCATAATTAACAGAGAGGCCGCGCGATGCGTGTAACGACGGACACAATTAGAAAATGTTATATAGCGCGGATTCCTGCCCTCTTTCTCTCTGTCCCCCGCGCCGCTCTCTCGCCGATAGAGCGCGATTAATGCGCGCCCTCCATTATTCATTTTCGTTTATATATTCGTCGCGGCGAGGGGGACTGGCGGCGCGGCGCGGTGCGCAATCCCCGAAAAGACAATCAAACGGGAATTATATCATCAGTCCGTGAGTTCGCTCTCTCCTCGCGCGTACACACACACACACACACACACACACACACACACACGCACGCACGCACGCGCACACCGCTGCACCTCGCGACGGTAGATATTTAATTAAA